CTTGTTCAAGCCGGAGCTGAACCGCAACTGCCTTTGAGCACGGAGTGCAATCATTCCCATTTCCAACGGCGCCAGGCGCTCCACCGTCGCACGAAGTGTCGAATTCGTCTGCTCGACAGATAGGAGCCTCTTCGACAGAGCACACTAATCCTCAACGTAAGGCAGTCGATGCACGAAGCGCTTCGAAATTTGGGTCCTACGCACAGCGGTACGCGACCCCAGCATGGTGCTCAGCAAAGTACCGATTGCGATGGACCTTGTGTTCAAGAGCTCGAAGAGCATCGCGAGTCACTGGACGGCGATCGACCAGTTCATCGCCGCCTTTTCTCAACGAGAGCGGTGTACGTAAAGCGCCTTGCGGGTCGACGTCGTCGACGGGGTCAAAGCCAGTATCTTGTGAAGTGGCGGGGGTACCCCGGCCTTAAGAACTCGTGGGAGCTCGAGGTGCCACTTCGGCAAGACTGCCCAAACGTCGTGGACGCTTATGATCAATGGGATCATGACGTTTGCGTCGTCTTACGTCCTGCATGTCTCGGCAATAGCCAGAAAAGTCGAAAGGTCATGAGCTGAGCTTAAGTTACGGCTCTAAGCCGCTGTGTTCGCAGACTCATCTGTGTGAGGGACCACAGAACTCGCGGGAGTGTGATAAACAAACCCATATGTCACAGGGCGACAATACGAAGGAAGTCGGCGATGTGCCTTGAGTTTGGCATATTAAAACCGAAGATGGCGTTCCACGCGCACGTACATCTCCTTGTGGCTTCGCTGTAAGCTGGACAGCGATGAAAGTCTCCGTTGCCGCTGCACCCATCGCTCAGATATCTTTTCATTATCTGCGACGGTTTCACCAGGGGCAAGCACAACAAGATCGTCTATATTGTGGGTACTGGGCGCTTCCTTTTTCAGCGCAAAGTCGAGCGCGGTGCCTATCCATTATGATTTCTTGTGGTACCAAGAAGCGAGCTCGGAGAGCTTTTCGTTGGTCAAGCTCAGCTTGTGTAGTGACCGGTGGAAAAGTATACGCTTAAGGATTGAGTGATTGCGTCCTTCGCTTTTGTTGCGGGATCTGGCGAGCGAAAGCCGTAATCCACTGGAGGGTCTAGTGTCGACCGTGGATGCGCGCGCATAGTAGCCTTACGGGCAGCCTCCAGCCGCTGCTTCTGTGTCTCGTTGAGGCGATTGATAATGATATTATTCCCCGCGGAGGTCGAGAGGTCGGGAAACAGACACGGTGTCCGCAAGGTTCGTGCAGGGCTCAAGTCACGCCACTGGTGAACCTCGCCCTCCTCTTTTTTTACATCCTGGGAAAGGAGTATCCGACTCGTAGTCGACTTTCTTCGAATCCTCGACGAGGGAATCCATCGCCCGTGGCGAGGTGTGCGGTTGGGAGTAGACTTCGCGTCTGATTTCTTGGTCGTGCGACCCCGTCGCAGACAATGCGCTGCGCGGTACTCGGTTATCGAGAATTTGGGCTGCGCTTCCCTTGAAGCCGCAGACATGCTGTCCGAAGTTGCCCACGAAGAAGAGCTCTGCTCGCGGATGTTCTCGTAACCAGCGAGGCTGGGTGTCTTCCGTGTCCTTGGCACAGGACTCATTGAGCAGAGAGTTCGCAAAGAAGGTCCCGGCGATGTTGTATTATTTTAGACACGCGAGCCTCGTTTGAGGCGACAGTTGGGTGTGAGGTGTAGGTGTTCACAATCTTGATGAGGGAGAGTGTATACGTGGGTTCTCGTGCTGTGATTTGAAGGGTGTGGATCACATAATGGATTGGGTTACACAAGGTGATATGACCACACAATGGTGTAGCTACACTTATTCAAGAAGTCAGTACGTGGCTGGACTGCAAGTAGTTATACATTTATTTCAGTTTTACCATATAGATAGAGAACCCAATAGATTTTGATATAGGCGGCTTTGCCGCAAATAAAATCGAGAAATACAGTTTACGTTTTAAACGGAAGAGTTTGTTAGCCTTGAATTAAGTTTGTAATTCCTCTTGGAATAAGTGGATTGCGATCCGCTACACTCGTACTGGTTCTAAGTATAGAACGAAAGTCACTGACCTTAACCAAGCTTCCTCTAAGCGATAGAGCTACGGCAGCTCCGCTGCAACCAAGGTATTGACGTGAGTGCCTGTCCTCGCGCGATCTCGCGTGCGTGTCACACTGTTGCTCCGTTTGGAGTATTTCTAGCTTCAAGGTACCTCAACTTTACTCATCCGAAAGGAGAGGCCTCCTCTTCTCTTGTCTTCTCTTCTCGTCTCATCTCTAAGAGACAAGTAGAGAAATATCCCGACTCCCGAAGGTTGGAACACTATCGGTCTGACGGTAAGAACCATTTGTTCCTCCATCGGTGTCCGGGTTGGGGCTGCCTTAACCGCGCATTCTCAAAGCGGGTTGGCGGCTCGACCTTAGGCGATCAAATATTGATCCCATCGGGACTCAAAATAGACAAAAGTACGTTAAGCTGGTGTATCTGTCCTGGGACAGGCGATTTGGTATTGATTACATGGTTTCCGTGCACTTTGCACGGAGGAAGACTTGACTCTTCGAATCCGCGTTCACAAACGCACAGCGGTTGGATATCTTCGTCCAGATAAAGATGCCCTCTTTAGTAACTAATGCTGCTAGTTTGCATTGCTATTTAAAGAATACAAAAATTCAAATACTAAATAGATATGGATCTCATATCAAAATTGCCATTCTCTTGGACCCTCCATTTTAGAACTCTGTAAGCTTAATAAATGCCCATTTCTATTACTTATAAATATAATGTGAGCTGTACAATATTATAGCTCTAAGAATTAAGCACGATAGATGCTTGCCCTCTTACATATTTTGGATGGTTGTTGGCGCTTTCGCTGCTCGCAATATTATCCCTCCTTCCCGAATAGGCACAAAACTGACAGCACACAGAGAGAACCCGCTTCAACCCTGCATGGACTTGTATCGCTTTCAGACCATACTAAAGGTGATGCTTTTCTAAAAGAATGCGACTCGGCCAGCATGACAGCGTCTGGAAGGTCAAGGATTGGGGTTTTAGACAGGAATCTGCGAACACTTCACAAGAGTCACACAGAAGCGCATTTTATTCACTTTTTGAAAACTTGACTCTAGCTACAGAATATCATCGTTGAGAGGCCTTCAGTAGAATAACATGCAGACCGAGAAATGTATAAAATCAATTGTCGCTTCTGCAAGTCGTTGTGTCATCTTCTATCGCAATCGGATCAGATATGTATAGTTACATTCGGTGGAAAATTTGGTACTGCATTTGTAATCGTGCTGGAAATTTCCAGATGCTGCTCCCCCCATCCTAGTCGCAAAGCTGATACTTAAACCCTGAAGATACTGTATAGTTTTCCGTTTATCATGCTTTGGTAGACCACAAATTCGATTGCGAAAAGCACTGAAGGCAATAACACTGCCAGATATACATCGATTTGGCTCATGGGTATTGCAATAATCGCCTTGTTGGATCACACTTGCGCTTTGTTCTGGTCGTATGAGGTAAAATCTATAACACTTGGTACCATACTGTAGGTTGTGTGGGTAGCAAGCGGGGAAACAAAACGTCAGCTGTTGCGATCAGGATTTCGCTTTTCTATCACACAACCTGCTAGGTTTTGTTAAGAGACCAGCAGAATTTGGCGCTCATTATTCGGGGTATACCGAACTTTGGCAAAATCCTGTGCAACAATACCCAAAATCTTACGCACATTTGCTCATTTCTTCAGCGATTACGACAAACGACATGAGGTTGTGAATTATGATTTTCCTAAACCCTGGGCGTTATATCTGGTGTAAAACGGTGGCCCCATTAATATATCGATTTGAATTTCTAAATTTCTCTCTGTGAACAGAAAGAATGGCATGAACATCCCATCTTCCTTCTGAGCAAACAGAAAGACGGCTGTCTTTGTTGAAGGTGGTGATTGCATATCTCATTTATTTTCTACAGGCATTCTTGCTCTTCAGATTGGCAACTCATCTTATACGAAGATTAGATTCTGGCTACTAGTCTGTTCACGGAAAGTGTGCTGGATGTGTTTGACGCGAATGACGTTGAAGGACATGTTGAAACTGACGAAAAGGTCTCAAAGTTGTTGCTAAGCTTAATTTCGCTGTGTCGCGGACGGTTTGAACATAATGCACGGAATAACAATTACTTAAATCTTCCGAATCTCATTCGATTGACCTACGCGAATCTCGACAGTTTGCAAAAGAGCTCTTATGACAAAAACTTAAAAGCACACGCTCGCTGCACTTTGCTTGACCACGCATGATTCGGCGTGTGCGGCAGCACACCGAGTGTATTTATTCCTCGAGTCTCATAGAAAACAATCAACTTTGCTCGATAAGACGATTTTTTTACAGCTGTTCACCAGATCAGGTCTGGAACACGCTTTCCGCAATGACTTTCTGTGGCTGTTGCACTCGAAGCTTTTTGCATAGATTGTAGAGTTTTACCAATTTTCTTCTCAGTGTGTGCCACATTTATCTTCATTACCTTGAAGAAGTTTTTTGAATATCGACAGATGATGGCGCAGTCCGATTAAGTACATTTTTTCTAAAAATGAGTTGATGGCAATTAAATTCAGGAATGAGGTGAAGTGTATTTCGGCTATCCCGCAATATCTCGTGCTATGCCATTTACTACATAGCGTAATTTGCATAAGAGCTGTTGCATATGAACGTAGCGCATGTGGCTAAAAGAACTACACTCCTCCCGTTAAAGATATTTGCACAGTGCTCTTTCTTTCACATTGCTGAGTATACATGTATCTCACAATACTGTGTAGTATTTGGATTTTTTAAGTTTCGAATCCGAATGTTTTTCGAGCAGCTTGTAATCGCACACGCTCTGTTCACCAGATGTCAATGCATGATCTGAATGACTAGTGATCCGTGAAGTCCTCCACATCGGACGTCATTTTCCAATATTCCATTTTGCAATCAAGCTGGCGCATTATTATAAGAATTCCTCCACATTCTACAATCATGAAGCTCTCCACAATTCTCTCTGCTGCTACACTCATTGCCGTGACTGATGCTGATCCGTGCGACGTGACATCGCTCTCAACGCTTCTGACTTCAAAGGATACGACGACGTGCAGCACAGCGTCAGGCTATGCAGTAACTTCATTGGCATCTCCAACGGAGAAGCAAATGGCCATTATGTGTTCCAACGAGGCATGTCAATCGGTAATTTCACAAATACAGACTCTCGCTCCATCAGAATGTACTTTGGGCCAGTTCGCCCTGTACGCCGATCTGCTTACTCCGCTGAACAACATTTGCAAAGACGTTGCATCTTCAGAAGCAAACACTCAATCAACGACTGACTCAGCCACTAATAACATTCCCGAATCCCCTCCAACTCTGACTTTCGCGAATGTGTCGGATACGTTTGAGCCAGCTGAAGTCTCTTCCATTTCTTCGACTGATTTTGATCCTATTGTAGCTCAGTCGGACAACACAACCGTGATCTCAGCGACGCCCTCGGATAATACGACTGTAACTCCGACGACGCCGTCAGATGATGTGACTGTGACTTCCACAACGCCGTCGGATGATACGACATTGTCTCCTTCGACGCCGTCAGATGATAAGACCGTTTCTTCGACTACGCCCTCGATTGACCAGACCACGACTCCATCGACAGACCTGGTGGCTTCCGAAGACTCCAGCAATTCGCAAGCTGCGCCGTCTATCTCAAGGGACGAAAACTCAACTTCCTTAGATCCTGACTTAACTCTTGACAACAGCAAAGCCAGCGTTGCTACAATCTCTGCCGGATTTGTGCTAGTGGCCGTTGCTGCTGCCATCTTTTAGTAATTAGCCTCAGAAATGACTGATACTAAGGAATAAACGATGCCCGAATCTAAATCACTTAATTGTATCATTATGATGACGAAACTCTTTTGATTTACGGTAATCGATTACCGAAGCTCTTTAATATACACAAGATAGTGTCATTTTGAAACGAAGATCTGGTTGGTATAAGCACCGTAAGTATCTGACAAGTTTAGCGTTTCTCCCTAATGCCGAAATTCTTTCAGAGCGGGCGGCACACAGCGGCTTCCATGGAGATTGATTGATAAATTAGTAATCAATGATCGCTGAAAGCGAAACTGATTCTAGTAATTGCCAATATATCTTTGAAAGCAAAAAAATGTTGATTCATGACCAAGATTGATTAGAAGTTTGTAAATGTTCACGCCGACAATGTGGTGGACCATCCAACTAAATATTTTGATGAAATACATACTATCGGTTACTTGACAAAAAGTAATGGACAAAAAGCGTAGCAATAACATACCAAGTAGAACAATAGACTTTTTGGCCGCTGCTGGCGCGGATTACACTGTTCGAGACAACGAATCTGCAATTTTTTTTAATTATCTTCTTTGACGATCTAAGCTGGTGAGACTTCAAGGTAATGAATGCTCTTTGGTGTCACGGCATACTTTAGTGTATATATGTACACTTAACACTTACTTGTGAAATCGAGCGAAAGTCAAATCACACATAAAAGTATTTGGTTCCGTAACAAAAACTTTCAAGACTGAATACATCATTACAATGCTAATTAATATTAAATGTATAACAATCTTGATTCGAAGAAAAACTGAGTACTATTGGCTCGGTTCTGCTACTGGATAAAGTGTAAAAACTGAGCTTTGTTCGTTTACTGATGAAGACCACTACAATCACAGCTTTCTATGTGCAGAGTGTACGGCAACATCGTTACACTCGGTAGCATTGTAGTCACTTCCGAGACCGAGTCTTGTAAAGACCGCATTCTCTGTGAGGAAATTCTCTAAATTCTTTCTTCGGGACAGCCAGACCAGCAAAAATAATCTTATCTCTACATCGCTTGCTCAGAAGGGAACAGTGTACTCGCGGCTTAAGGTCCAGAGACGGTATTCTTTATTGAAGGCGCTCATCAGTAATGAGAAATTGTCGGTGAGAAATCAATTCCGTCGACATCACTGGGAGCGCTTAGAGCAGCCATCGTAATGTAGCTCGAGTGAAGGGGTCTAGCCCTTTGGGTGAATGGACAAAGATGATCTTTCCCAGCTAAAATGAGTACTATATTTTTTTGAATCTATACCTTTGCACTAGATATAAATGTGTTAGATACATTCAAAACAATTGTGCTGACATTGCACTTTGTTGTAATCGAGAGCATATATAAGCACAAAGAGTCGGGCTGGTGACGACGATGGAACTCTAGAAAGGAGGAATCTGCGGGTTCTTGTGGGCTGCTATCCGCGCGTCAGAAAATATAATCAGTTTTATCACGAGAACATTTTAGTATTAGAATCAATCATAAACATATGGACTCTCGGTATGGCACAGCTAGCTAAACTACCTGTTACAATTAAGCCTCCCGGGTACGTCTTATAAAGAGCGTACAAATTATATTAATGCGAACTCGAACAGTCATAGCTTCTTTCACGACCGAATCGCGTAAGGACTGTATCCTTTGTGTGTAAGGGACATGAGATGTTCTGGAAGCTCTCCCAGGACATCAAGGTTAGCTTAACAAGGATCATTGACTCCGATACGACCAAGCCACAAGGCCGGAGGTGGCAATTGCTCGCTTGATAGCGCTAATCAGCTTTTTGAAAGCGCTTGAAGATTGTTTCGACATACACTAACCCGGGAATGCGAACAAACAGGTGCTGTCCACAGAGAGGTCCTTGCTATATACGTGTCTTTTACCGAGGTGCCGCAAGAAATAGCTCATTTTCAAGCTGCCGCTTCATTTAGAACATTGCTCATTCCATAGCCAAAACAACTTTCATTGTCAAGAGAGAGAAACTGTCACCGTACATCCCCCTAAGATCTTGACGCTTGATATCAGTAAAGAGGTGAGCGACGGATGTTGTTGGTGTTCGTACCGCCCAAACAGGTGTGTCGGGTGCTTCAAATGAGAACCAGCAAACTATACCTAGTCTTCAAAATTTGTCCTTGCCACAATGGCGTCTGAATCTCCCAGACGCTGTAAGGTGGCCATCTTCATACAAGATCGCCGAACGGTTGCGGCTGGGATCGAGATTTTTCGCGTCATCCGTCCTCTTCTGAGAATGTCTAATTTGTTGGGCGGCAAAATTTTGATGGCACGAATATTTGACTTAGTACTGGAAGCAAAGTATCTCGAAGCGCGCCCGGTGCATTGACCTTAGCCATACTGAGGAGGATGAAAGCTCTACATAGCTGATAAGCAGCTCACAGATGGTATATTTATGGAAGTACAAAAGATTTGCACCTTGAGTGTTCCCTTCGCTATTGGCTGGAAGGGTCGTGTTTGCAGCGTAGATGCTGTAGCTCTTTGCTTTAAGGAAGCTAAGGTCATTGACCTTACGTTCAATACAAGAGCGAGTACGAGTGTAGCGGATCGCAAGCCGCTACCTCCAAGAATACTCAAAACCTTAACCCAAGGTAAAGACACTCTTCTGTTCAAATTGAAACTGTATTTAATTGTTTCATTTAGGGAAGAGCCGCCTGTATCTAAAACCTATAATTTTCCTGATTATAAAGTAAAACCTAATAAATATGGATAACTTCTGACGTCCTGCCGCATAGTGGCTTTTTGTTACGGTGTAGCCACACCATTGCGTGATTACACCATCTTGTGTGACCCATCCTTTCATACAGGTGTACGTGTAATTCCGTCACACTTTGGGTACGTGTAACCCCTTTACAGTGTTACCCCGCAAGGCGGCCCGACAAATCTCGTAAGGGTAAACATCGCGTTGCAGTAGGGTCGGTCTGGCATACTAAAACAACGGGTGTTTTTATAGCTCGTGGGGGTCACGATCAATAGGAACACCCAAAAATGGAGCAAATTTCTCTGAGAATGCTGGGCTCGCGGCCCAAAGTTTGTGACTGTTACTATCAGCGCCTCGGATATTGTTAAGCCGCGGATTGTCCCGATTGAATCAGGAGCATCGTGCAGTCACGTACGGTACCCGACTGTCGAGAACGCGAGACCGTAAGCAGAGGCATTAAAGATTTCAAATGCGGGTATTAATGCGTAGTGCCCGGTCAAAGTGTCTATAGTTTTATAATCCTTCAAGTGAAGGATAAAAGCTTTGACAGCTTGAAACTCTGGCTTGTTCTGGACCGTGATTTGACATCTGAGGTATATCATGGCTGATAGGCCATGAGTCATAGATCGGCTGGATGTCGAAGCGTTTGTTGCCACGCACTTCTCTCCTAGTAAAGCTTTGGCGGGTCATAAACCCTTCTTCAGTAGGCGATTTGCACTTTTGGCGCGGGCGCGAAGCTGCGATTGCTACTGTTCAAGATATGTGACTGTCCAAAGTTGATAGCAGCTATATTTTTAGACCCCTGAGAAGAGACCAGGCAGCAGAGGTGGGAGTGGGTTGCCTTAAGATTAGACAAAGACGAGCAATCGTTAATCGCGGTCTTCAGAGTTAATATCTGCTCAAAACACTAGTGAGATGTTGTCTCCCATGCCAGGACCGGTGGAGACTGGAAGCGAGTAAGTGTTGCAATCTTCTTTACCAGAATCCGTGGAGTTTACGGATGTCTGTGTGTCGCGAGTAGAAGGCCCAGACTCTGGAGGAAAGTAAGATGGTTATGACTTGACGCTACCGCCGAGTTAGGACCACCGTACTGAGCTTTCGAGTATCACGGATAAGTAGCGAGGGAAATTCATCGCACGTCGATCAACAGACTGGGGCAGTTCTAGAAGTTGTTAATCTTCCCGCACTACCTCCATTAGAGGCAGTTAAAGTATTCTCTCCGAGGGTATGTCCGGGAAATTGCGACATCGTGAAGGCACAAAGAGATAGGAACCAGAGGGGGAGCTGAGCTTGTCGTCAGTCATGAATGAATTTTTAATTAAAGACATTGAGTATGATGAGTGGGAAAAGTATTCCCAAAGATTCTGCGGAATCATTCATTTTGTTGAAAAATTAGACGACGTGGCGAGAAGCGACCTATCGTGCGAGTTGCCCATGCACTGAGGAGTGCATCATAAACTTGACTTTATTCTTAGAACCAACTGCTGCGTTACTCTCCAAGAGAGGTTATAGGGCATGGTGTAACTTCATAGACTGAAGCACGGTTTGGTTTTGGTGAGAAAGATAAATCTTCCCAACTGGTGCTATTTTTCTGTGTTAGACAGACAAACATCAAACAGCAAATGGCGCAAGCTTTTATTTAGCCGGAAGCGACCACTATTTTGGCGCAAACGCCGACGCTCAAAAAGGATGTGCAGTAGAATAGCATGGGTCGTCTGACTTCGTATAGTAACTTTGACTGGGCTAACGGAAGCTATCAACTGCTAGTGATAGGCAGTAAAACTCTATTACTGCGATGAGGTTATAAGTGCATGTTCTGGGAGTGAGCGATTATGCCACAATAATTGCCTAACATACCATCAACACTCAATACATTAGTGACGCAAATGTTCTTGCCACATCATACCGATGCATTAACCCTTATTGACGATACATTCGCGGATCATCGTGCAAGCCCTAGGAAGTCGAACGTGGATAGCCACATTGAATTACTTAAGTGCAGTGCTCTACTGTAAATGTAAGGAAAAATCAGCTGTTCGCCGATAAAGACAAGTATTTTTGGCACAACCAAGATTTTCTTTCTGGGTGATTCATTGGAAGCCTGACTCGCTGTCAGATCACGCAGACGCAAACGTCATTGTAGATTGGCTTGTACTTTTGTCGAAACACACTTGAGAAAGTGACTAGCCTAGCCAACTACTTGTAAAAGAATAGTGCAAATTATGCCGACGTAGTACGGCTCCTCGTCACTCTTTTAGAATGGATGTCAATTGATGTTTGGGTGCGACGGAAAACTCGGTCTTTACGGCTGTGAATGAATTTAAGATATGCCTTCCGACTCCGGCATTTATAAAATGAGTCGGCAATTCCAGTTTGTCCTCGACGTTCCTTCATTTGCCGTATATTGGGCTTTACTATAAGCACTGTCGAGTCTCATCAGCTAAAGCCACGCGAAAGTACTTCTCACTCCACGACAAGGAGCTATTGCATTTAAGTGTTTTCTAGCCAAGTTTAAGGTGCATCTGATTCGATCTAAGCCAATTTTGGTTCATACGGACCATGTATCTATGCGCACAGCGTCGTCGTTACCACATCTCGCAGAGAATGACAATATAAATTCGATGCTAAGGTTATCGTTCATGGGCAGATCGAAACCGGGTCAGCACAATGTGGTGGTGAATTGCTTTCGCGTCGCCCAACTTAAAATTGCCGCATTCCACGATGATGACGTGGCACGTCGATGAATTGATACGCACAGTAATCAAATTGGACACATAATGTGTTGCGCCGCCAAAAACTTAGGAAAGCAACAATTATGAATAATCCTCGTTTTCATTTTATCGGAACGCGTGGTTGCGCATTTGCATCGCAATGCTTTACCCTAGGCTTGCAATATTACACCTGAAACTAAGTATGTAGTGCTGCCAGGTTGAAGGCCTCATGTTTGGACGACAGTACGAGGCGTATGCTATTGACAGACTCCGAGAGAAAAAAATAGCTCGGTGAGGGCTGAGAATTGGCGAACCATTATGTATAAGCAGGTAAGCAGAATACGCAAGTGTGAAATGTGTCTGCGGCTTATATACTTGCCGCATGGACGCTGTCTTTAACTAGCTCGCCGATTCCGGCAACGTTTTGGCAGTTCATAAGAATGAGCTTTATTTTTGTCGCTTCAAAAGCAACTTCCGGTAATTTAAGCATGTGATCTTTGTAAACATTCAGGCAAGATGGCGCATCTCGTTGCTATCGCAGATTTCTTGGCCAGTAAAGAGCTGTTTTTGACAAAAGAGTTTACCAACATGGCTTGCTGTGACCATTGCGACAGATAGAGGTCGACGCTTTACAGTAAATTCTGGCACACATTGCTCAATTTATAAGTGATCAGATTAATCATGTCATCCGCTAGCCATTTGTGCATTATGTGTGGTGGATGATATCTTTCGAAGCACTTGCGCGAAGAGACCGCGATGCTGGAGCAAACCGCTTTTACTCGAGGAGTTCGCGCTCAATCATGCCTTTATAGACTTTGCTAGTAAATTACAAAATGTCTAGTTACTCGATTGACAAAGATCAGCCTGGCTACACTACGTAGCGACACCTATGGTTTAAGCTGACTTACTTTCGGTGTCATACGCCAACTACGTGACGCTACGGTTGACAGTTTAGATTGTCAAAATTTAGTATGCCGATGCCATTGGCAGACAGAAGACACATCGGTATGTCTTGAAGGGAAAGCTAGATTAAAACGTTATTGTCTCATATACACATGCAGCGTCCGCAGTCAATAAGACGAGGCTGTGATCTCGCTAGATTAGACTTTCCACATTCGTGACAAAAACGAAGCAGAGTAACCCAATTGACATGTCAAAGAAAAGCAAAGACAATTCGAGCTCTACGTGAGCTTATTGTATAAGAATGCCACTCTGACAACTCAGCCGAATGTGAAGTGCTCTGCGTAAACAAAGCAGCGCTTTCACTGCGCCGTAAACTGAGCTATTCTCCACTCTATAGCGATGAAACGGCTATATATCTCATACGTACCTCGAACCGCTCCGCACGATGGTATAGCTCTCAGAGCGCATCCGAAGATGACTCATTTCGGTATAGGATGGACGTCGTCTCTCTTCGAAAGTCTTGTTGTGCCGTTGCAAATAAAAAAAAATTAAAGTACAGATGCGGAAGCGTCATCGACGCTGGAGCTTCTTGATGGACGAAGGTCGATTCACGTCTACGTCGTACGTTAAGTTGACTGGTGAGTACAATGGATAGTATCATGAAGTAAAAAACAAGCTCATGGGAGCTCTTTGGCAAGTTTTCACTGGCATCGTCGTCGCTTAAGGGTTGCGCACCTTTGGTCGTATCTTCTCTGCCAAACATTGATCGCTGGACACTGAGCGTTTTCCACTAGCGCGTGGGGTATATCCTTGTCTTAAATTTAATATTTGTAAAATCTCGAACCACTATCCCAGGCACATGAGCGGAACTGTCGGTAGCAAGAACTAGTGGTGGTTTGTCTCTACGTCCACATTTAGGTCGTGTGGTACGCTTTGCAAAGTCAAATATCGAAGAACGCGCTAGTCGACGTCTGCCTCGCTGAAGCTGATGGTATAGCTGTTAGACGGGCCAGGTGACTCGTCTTCCTCAGACTGTGCACGGACTAAGTGCGATACTTCTCGGCAATCCTGCCAGCATTCTGCAGTGCAGCCCCCACAGGTAATAGAGATTTGCCGACCTCCTACAGCTTCAAGCGCAGGCGGCACCTCTAAGGAATGACGACCTCTGAAGTCAGAACGCGCTTGTTAATTGACTTTAGGGCACTTGTTTTGTTCTCTGTTCGAGCGAAAGGATCGCCAAATAAGAAAGTAACAACTTGAACCGGTGTCACGAGCAATATTTAATGAATGGAATCGTTAATCACGACGATATAGTCTTCAAAAAGGTCGTTCTGATTCTTGCGCTTGCCGAGAGGCTGCTCTCTTTTAACCAGGTCCAGCTTACTGGTAATTATCTGGTCGGCTCCATGATTTCGCAGCGGGGTGGTACAATTACTTTCTTCCTACGAACGTTCTCAGAAGCGCAACTAATGCAAAGAAGAGATCGAGCCTAAAAAGTCTATAGTGAGTGGCTCGGCTGTATGTCTCTGGGTAAAGACGTAGGTGCTAGTTCATTACTCGGCTAATCGCCAGAACCGCTCTCATCGATGAAAACCTCGACCTCCACTTCAGAAATAAATTAAAGGTTATAGGTCGCAAGTAGCGAGTGACTCGGCTTTATGTCTCTGGGTAAAGACGTAGGTGCTGGTTCAATACTCGGCTAATCGCCATAACCACTCTCATCAATGAAATCCTCGATTTCCTCTTTAAAGATAAATTAAAGGTTATAGGTCGCAAATACAGAGTTTCTATCTGATTTATGCCATGTCAGATGATATTGGGGTTGTAAAGAAATTAATTATGAGTTGCGAGAAGTGAAGAGTAATATTAAGCGCAGCAGGTTGGTGCTCGTCAAGCGCTCTCGTTTGCACAATGTGGGAAATAGATAAAAGAGCTGTAAGCCCCAGCGTGGTTCTACGCCTCGGAGGGGGAATCGTGATGTAAACCGTACTATTGTATCGCTCATCTCACACTTATGTGCGATTTTACAAAATACAATGTTATACATTTGAGCAAAAATAACAGCACGCTTTTTTGTAGCAATACAACTTTAGTAGCACTTCAGTAATGACACTAACGAAGACGATGAGACTTCGTAGAGGAAATGTCCATGATAAGTTCTACGTCATGCAACAAAGTCTTCTTATTGAATACAGTAAGACGTCTATCAAGTATTGGCTACAAAGAAATTATTTTCATTTATCTATGTTAGACAAGCCCAGTAACAATCTCACAATCAAATGCATACATAGTTTGCTATTTTATCTTAAAAAAGGCATACACCTACGCTTTAAGTCAGAATTAAGCTTCTATTAATTGTGTTCAGCTTACTATTGCAAATATTAATAGCTTACGTACGGCTAGTGTGAGGTTAGTGGGCCAAATGTCCCACAAACCACTCGCTTTAGAATACTCGCCTCCCTCATCTATATCAGCGTTTGTTGCAATACTGTGTAACAAGATCATACTCTGTGTATCTGACTTCAAGACGAGAGAAAAAGGGTTGGGTGTACGGACGTTTCAGTAAGGTACACGCTGCACCATCCCTCAAAAAGATTTCTACAATGTGACTAGGGTAACACTCATTTGTTTTTGTCCTTGAAATATGCTCACAACAGTGAGTGCTGCACCAGCACCCATTAAGCCAGACATTTTTCACTTAACACTGCAACCCAAATTGCTTGATCTTCCGCGCATGTCCTACTCTATCTTACGTTTCCAAATGGCTCACTGGCCGACGACCTTCAAGCTATATTCGGTAAGGCAGCCAAGGAAATCCTCAATGAAGACGGTCACAATGCTTATCGGATCCCTGGGCAGTATTTTTGTTCCCGAGAGATATTCTGCAGCATCATTCCATGCCTGTGGGTAGCTCTTGTATTTGGGGCATTTTGCGGTTCACTGACTCAACTTCGCAAAATTTGCGAGCCACGTCCCCGTTATCGACAGTGGCGGGTGCGGCGCCGCAGACTTCACATCAGCACCCAGCTCGGTATCAATGAGCTGGCCTTGACTCAGCAAGCCGATCTTTTACTTCTGGATACGCAAGACAAGTAACGACACATGTAGAATTAAATCACATTCAGAGAGTAACCCTGATTTTATTGAAGCTGTACGCCGCGCCAGATGGGTGTCTATATCTGGAGAATTTCCAGTCAAGCAGAAAGTGAACAAGTGCTTGCTAGTCGCTTCACGAGTGCTTTCGAACCCCTGTGATCACCGCTTTCTCCTTCGCAGCAGCCGGATAGATCCCTATTAGTACCGATAATCATATTTTGGCGTTGAATACTGGCAAATTGTCCATCGAGTATCTGACTTAATTCACACAGTAAATAAAGAAGTCACGTCGCCTCCTCATCTCATAGCTTTACAAGCTCGCTTCAGGCAAATTGACTCCAGACTAGAAATTCGTTTGATGATAAACTACACAATGTAAAATTAGGACGTCAAGGAGGTTGTTCAGTATTCTACAAGCTTCACCTATACTGTAAACAACTGCAGTGTACTAACCGGTCTCCCAATTGTATGAAATGGAAGTGAGAGGGTCTCTTGCTCATCGAGCAGTGTTGACGTGACATCAACCCAACCGTGTTTGGCGCCCGTCGTGTTTCGACAATTGATGGAGTAACATTCGTGAACACCACCGATAATGGCAGCACATCGAATTTGTTTGATAGATTCAACGTGCGTCCGATATTGATATGAGCTATGTTTAAATGCGCTCTGTGAGCTAAGACATCGAACGGGCTGGCTTGATCCACCTTTAGCGATTTATAGCTGAACAGCTACTTTTGAGAAAATGTTCCTCTGCAGAGAATGATGACGACGTTGCTCCGTCTCCAACACGGCGCTTCGAATTGCTTGGCGTCTCAAATGAAGATCGTGATAAGGCTTGAGAATTTGGCTTGAATTGCATGATAAAATCGTATTCTCGTTGGAAATTCGAAGAGTATAGCTTAATCCCACTCTAGCTACGATCATAGGTAGTCTGATGTAGCCGCATCATAATTTAATACTTTGGTACTGCATGAGTAGATAGGCTAACAAAGTTTGTATAATGTTGTCATCCCCAACATAATTATGAGTGTTTCGTCTGCCTCTGGCACACGCATGACGCTTTGGTTCATCCAGGCTCTCAGCCAACGTTCGTGCACTCAACGCACGACGACCAATCAAAAAAGTTGAATTTTGTTACCAGCGGTAGCAATTTAATTTCAGCAAGTTGAATCGTAGTGACAGTCAGTCCCAACAAGATATGAGCCATTTTTTAACGGTGTCAAAGGCCTCGGAGTACACCAAACTTTAAACTAATTACGGTGTAGACTAGTAGATATGTATACATCATCGTTCAGCGCAAAGTGCTTTGGAGGGTATCCCCACAACTCGATTAGCTTCTTTCATCTGACCATTTGTCGGTTGCACCGTTATATATAGCTCCAAAGCTTGCTACTGCCCTACTTGCCTCATGTGTGATGACATTTTTTATGACGAGGAGCTAAGGACAGAATACCGTAAAAGACACCGGATACATCGTCCGCTTGCATCTGTAGAGGAAATACAAAAAGCACCGTTGTTTTCTTGGCGGCAATTTATCGTAGATCTGTGTTTGCTACACAGTCCAGAGTTTTACTGCGATCTGATGGTCTAACATGTAAAAAAATAAGCTACTGTTTGTGTACGCTGGATATTCTTTTTACTAGCTGGATTTTTGCCTCATTGGGCCGACGTCTTCGGCCAGCCAGCATGTTCCGGCAGAGTATCGGTCGTCCATGAGCAAGGAAAACGAGTATGGTCTACCAAAAGACGCGTTCGGGAATCCCAGCATTCTGGTCTTTTAGATTGATTGAGAAAAATGCCTTATTTTGCTTCTATAAGCAACTCGTTATCGGTAAAGCTACAGTCAAGCTGCTCTTCCGACAAAACGAGTTCTTGATGGTTATTGTGTCGGGTAAATAACGCACTGCATATATCTGGCGAAATCTGTTGCGGGTGATGACAATTATTTTCATGTTGATCACTAGGCAATATATATTATGAGATAGCGGAGTCTATAGCTTCTAATAAGCAGCCCATGGTACTTCTGATCCGTACGCTGGACTTAACCTCTCATAAATTAGCGACGTCAAAACAGGAGACACGAGAGCTCAAAGTCTCAGCTTCGTGAATGCACCCTCCACCACATCCTAGCGGCCCGGTTTGTTAATATCAAATGCATTCGGCAACGAAGGATAATCATCTTGCAGATCTCCGTGGGGGGTATGGTAACGACGTTGCAGTATACAACAACTCATGATCTGTATCGGGCCTCAAAGTACATTGAGCCAACGAAGCATGCCATAAACTCGACTTCCTAGCAAAAAGCTCGTTTCATGAACTAAATAGAACCGTCGTTTTTATACTTGCAAAACCCAATCGTGATGAAGCGTTCATGTCTATCGATCTCTGCTTTGTTTAAAAGAACAATTTGCGGCAAAGGCTAAATCGCCGCAGACTACATATAATGGCCAGGCTGGGTTCAGAAGGGCCTAATTCGGAGCACTCGTTTTATTTTTACATAGCCGCCTGATCTGCCGTACCCTAGCATCAGTGACATTTGTTTCAAGAACATCGCTGAGGAGTCGTGCCATGGCTGCAGATCGTGCTATCCAAGAAAGTATTCCAGAAAGGCATGCTGTCGGCACCTAGCTCAAACTTGCTCATGTCATAAGAGGGCTTATCTAGGCGAATTAACTTGTGCACTGCTTGAAAGGGCTTGATGTGAGTGTTCAAATTTGATTTCACGTGCTCTGCACAACTATGGACAAATGCTTGTCGGGAAGATTTGTGCACCCACGTACTGAACGCGTTCCCCTTGTATTTTAATCTATCAATGGGTCTGCCGTGAACATATTTAATGGATTTTAGTGCCATATTGAACATGTCTCATATTGTGATAAGATGCGAATCTCGATCAACATCCGTCCCTAGAGCACGCTTAAAGCACTTAACACAATGAGGAGGATACAACCGACTCGCATAAAAAGTTGATGTTACCATCGACTACGTCGAGAACGCTGTACAGGGTTTGCTTTAACGTGAGCTTCTGCTGCAGGGGTAAGCAATTACGCTGGTTTGTGGCTACAATTTGCTGATGGAACGTATGCATATTTCTCGGCTTGTCGGCAGCCAGATCTGGAAGCCGGTGACGGATGGGGGGATTTCCTAGGACCTACATCGTCTAATTTGCTAAATAGCGCACGGTCCCTTAGTAAGAGTCATTAGCTTTCTATTTACTATCAAATTCCACAGGTCATATAAATTTCAACACAACTTTCTACATTCTAAGGTAGAGTGATGACGAGTCTTTTCCGCTTCGTGGTTTGTTTTTAAGAAAGGATTTATCGGATCTCCACTCCTTGTGCTCAGTGCTTTTGGATGTCTCTGACTGAGGATTCACGTATGTTGTTAAGGAGGTCGGCTTTGCATTGTTACTAGCATAGCGAATCTGGTGATACCACCATTTGACGTTTGAAGCGCATATCGCCGAATGAGAGCTTTGAAAGCTCCTCAAAGCAACTTCTACAGTTTCTCTGCGTTACACGGTGGGAGTGTGGGGCATGTTACATGGTCTTGGTGTCTCGGCAATACAGTCACACTGTGACTAGCGGGAGTCATTTTCAGTAAAATCAGGTCCTCGCACACTACTCCTGAATCATAGTCTTCTGTATTTGTAGATGTTTTTATAAACTGCGGCTTGTGGAGTACCCAAATTCGCTTCAATAGTTTCCAGCCCGGGCGACAGCTATACAGACGCCTTAACAGTAACAGCATCCGATATCCTTCATCAAATATGTCCACATAAATCGATCATTCCTGAAGACCACGACACACGATCTAACTTCCGTTCCAGTCGTCATGAATTGGAAAACTCTGGCTCACAGCCTCATTTACCTTCCAAGCATGCTTAATGCTCACATTCAATTAATCAAACAACCCCATGGACTGCATCAAAGCTGTCGGGGCTTCCTATTTGCACGAAAGAGCTCCTCTTTGTCAATAGACTGATTCACAACTGCGGCATAAACCTTCACCAGGAGTAAAAGGCGTAGCTACCAATTTCTTTAACTTCCGTAAGCTTTATGGCTCATTGCGTTCCAGCCAGGTCATACTAGGATGAAAGTTCAGGTCTAAGACCAAGCGGCGTTCCGATTGCAGTATTCAGACCGTATTTGAGATGCATAGAAACCATTGACATGCCCCGTCGAGAGATGTACGGATTTATGTCAATACCAATGCCTTGTATACTCGCCACTAATTTCACTTGTACTCAATCACACGACGCCGCTGAATCTATTGCGGATTTCATTGAATTAAAAAACACGGTATGATGATGTCGCCGACAAAAAACTAGCTGTCGCCGACAGAAAACTAGCTTTAGGCCCACATAAAATCAAGAGCATACGAAATGAGCTCTTCTGCTTTCAACCTCCACGCGGTTCATTAGATCGAATGATTCTTTTCCGGTGGCTTTTTTCACCTATAGGCAAAGAAATATACCCAAGAGGGAGCTGTCGGTCTATCCAGGAAAATCATGAATTGTTTTCACCTATCAGCTGCAAGAGAAGGGAAGATGCAGTCCGAATGTTACCTGTTTTGTGGTGTTCGTAAACTTTTCATTGATGCCTTCTGCCATAGTGCCAAACTCGCAAGTCCGTTAGACGTCAATCTCTCTCGAAATCTTTGCTTCGGGATTCGCTTGCAACGGGTCTGTCCTGCACCTGACACAAAGGGGTCTTTGACTCTACTAGTCCACGTTAGCTCAAGCACAAAGACGAGTTTGTCAGATAAACAAAGCGATAAAACAAGAGCTTCAAGTAACCAGGTACCTAGCTCACGCTTAGCTGGAGAGCGACATGCATTTGGATTTAAATCTAGTCTGAGGGTTTGTAGCATGTTTAATTTTATCTATTTCAGCAATTATACCATATGTGCTACGTATCGCGAGAATACTCGCAACAAATTCCCACATACATATCCTCTCCGGATTCATCCGCAGCAGAACTTGTCACGATAAATCGGCACACTCTTTAAATGGTCAGCTCGGCTAGGATTCATTGCTGCTGGCACGCTCGGAGAGCCGTTATTATTTGCATCCCGAAAGACCCTTGCGAAATTAAAGCTGTATACCGCACTCAAAAATGCAACATACACCGCAAGAGGCTAAATGCACCTAAAAGGTCTGGATCTAAGCTACGTTCGTTTGTAATCCTTAAATGAATTAGCTGTGACAGTTGGAAGGCGTCTTCGTAGCTGGCAAACACCTTCCGATGAGCAAATTGCTTCCGGAGTCTGGGTTGCCAAGTGTGTTACGACACAATCTTTTTAAGCGCGTTTGTATAACCGGGGTAAAATTGATTGGCATTCCATGTTTCATTTTTAAATAGGGTGAAACATTTTAAAGACTTAGTTGAGCCCTTGACGACAAGTGCTACCAAGTGCTCCGGGTTACATGTCTTATCCTCACGAGAATAAGTCTTCTAGAGAATCAGTTTCCTTTTGACAGCAATTGCTTCGGGCTGCAGTGCTTCTTGCACAGCGGGAAAATCAGCATAAAGAGTCTGCGTAAAAATGCACAGACGACGTTTTTGGAGGTCGTTCAGGGGAAGAAGAACCAGAATTATTTTATATACCCATTAATTGACGCTTTCTTAAATTGAAATCAGTCTAAACATAGGATTAGCTGTATGTAATAAAATAAAAGTATTGACAAGAATAAAACCATTTAATCATAAGAGCATCGCACTTGACGCACGGACCTCTCCTATAGATTCCTATCACTCGAATTTCCTACGCAACGCTAATCATGATGGTATCTCGGAGTGCACGAAGTATAATGTGTGCGTAAATAATATCAGAGAGTACCCCGTTACACAAGATTTGCAGCTCACACAGCGTCCGCCCTTCATCCACTCTTTTCTGGTCACGCTTTCAAACCTATGGATATAGTCTTTGGTGTCGACAGCATAAAAGAAGTACTATATGGCATAACGAAACACAATAGGAGCTTTGCGACGGGATTTATGTCCGTGGCAAATTTGGCGGTGAATCACCTGTCCAAAAATATGAACACAAATCGTCGTGAAGGCATGTGGGAGCCCGTAGTTTTTAAGGTATGATAAGACTTTAACCCTTCTTGTAAGTCGTAATTCTGAGGACATGTTGACTTCAAATGACCTAGCTTCAATGTGTGAAGCCCTTTTGTGACTTATAAGCAGCGATTACCTATGTTTTTTCAGCTTTAATTAGCCATGTCATCTCTAGATTTCAATTCTTATCTTAAATGTTAGGATGGCAAAATATAACGATGCACGTTTTTTCATCGCTCTCACACTCAGATCAGCATCATTTGTAATATTTTCTTGGGCTTCCGCTCACGGCCATCAAATACACGGAGTGCTTCGTGTTGTAACGGTGCAAAGTTGTTGGTCTATGAAGCGTTTTTAGCCTTAAACTGGATTTTGTTTGGTAGCACATCCAATGTTGCATTGTGCTTCGACGCAGAGTTTTTAAAATCATCTTACCATAGCACAACCTGGAGTCGATAACATCGCTGGTCGAGGGCGATTTACTAGATCCATGCACTATTTATGGCTCATTATGCGCGTCGAACTTTAATCTTCTCGGTGCCGCATTGAGACTTGACAGCCAAGCTTTTTTGCCTGTCTATTCCGTTGAAATGCACTAATCCCAGCTTTCAGTGTTGAGCAATGAGAACATCCCTGAGGTAATGTTAAATTTGTTTTTGCGCAGCACCCGGCAAATTGAGCTACGCGCAAATTTCTATCAGATACCCTTCAGTGCCCATTAAAAGGGCACTTCAATATATATTTTCTCGTTCGTACTGGTGGGCGCTGTGCACAAATAGTTCCTCGAACACAACACACACGCTTTCGAGACTAGGAAGCGATCCCGACGTGGAGGGAAAAGGACAGTCCGGCTTTAAGGGAAGAAAAACGACTTAATACTTTGAAGGTAAATTTGCAACCGAATCAAAGTAAGTTATAGTTCTTAGCAACATGCAAAACAGCCTAGAGGTTTTACTAATAAAACCTTGGGCTCTTGATTTATAAATCAAGGGTGTACTGAGGTTGAATCTCAGATTCAGATTTTAGAAGATCTTGGGTGTACGGAGCTTGAATCTCGAAAGCTTGGATTTCAGCTTTCGTGAGAACTATCCAGAAGAAGGGACTGGCTCACGTTCTCCACATCGAAGGCTTGAGCTTTAACTTTCTTGGAAAGTATTCAGTAGAAGTGACTGGATTACGGCAATCACTTCTAATGACAGTGACACGTCGGTCTCGTCACCAGTACAGATTTCCAAGTAGGAGCCAGCATTCTGTACCTCACAGAATGTTTGTGATTTTACATAAGAAATCACGTATGCATTTTGAACTACTATACTGTAATCTTCTTCGATAAATTCCCACAATGCGTACAGAAGGTACATTTATGTAGTAAGTGTAGCCCATTATATCATCCCCTACTTTAACTCAAACGTACTTTGATACTTTTGTAGACCTTTCGGAGCAGTTCACTTCAAACAACAATGAAACGATCCAGTGAAAAAACCAACATGAAAAAGCGTTCTTTGCCTAAACGGTAAAATAAGCTTCAAAACTCTTTGAAGTTTCCTCTATTTTAGATCGAAATTGAGACAAGAGGTGTTGTATGAAACAGATCATTTGTAGGCTAGGATCAACAATTGTGATGTCATCGCAGCTAAGCTTGACTCTTGGTGGACATTTGTTCGCTTGAGAACGAGAACAAAGTGGAGCGTCTTCTTCGCCGAATCAAAGCTGGCAGGACTCCCAGTCACGGCCGAGCACAACCAAGCTCTGGTCATCGCAGTGCTGCTTTTAGTAACACTACAAGTGATTCTCGTAGCTGCGGACCACGTCCATGCTACGTCGTTCAAAGAAGGGAGTGAATATTTCCCTCTTGCAGAGTTTGTGGTAATCAACTCCACACATGTCTCGACAGGTCATTCGCCATTTCATGTGAACTATGGTATTTATCCAAAAGTACCTGCTTCCAAAATGGGCGAGGTCTCAACATTAAGTGGGAGAGGAACTATGGCTATTGAGCCACCGTCAGACCTAAATGCTGTCACAGAGTCAAAAGCGAATTTAAGTCAATGAGACCTCTAGACGACATGGGCAAGTCGTTAAGAACAGCAAGTCGAAAACTTTATTGTAAAGAGACAAACTGTTGTTCGGTTTCTTCGAGACACAATTGCAAAAGCTCAGGATCTACAAAGACAGCAAGCATATAGGATCGGAAAGATGATGAAAAATAAGGTGTATAAGGTCAATGATCGTGTACAACTTCGCACGACAAATCTGCCTGAACATGCAGTATCCAACTTGGGAAGCAGGAAGACTTTACCAAGATTCACTGGACAGCTCAAGGTGTCGAACTGCAATAGTGATGCGTATACTTTAGCCATTCCTACACGCATGTGCCTACATCCTGCATTCTATGTGGGTAGGCTCAAGTCGTATCTTGCAAGCAGATCTGCCGATTCTACTCTAACTTTGGTAGATGATCAAGCTGATGATGAAATTCCTCTATTTGTCTACGAAAAGCAACCAACTCTTCACCCCAATTATTCTTGCTGGCGTACGAGCATTGAAAGACATCGAAAGATTGCTCCTTCACTGATTTCAACGCTTAAAGACGAGAATAGTACTACCTCGAGAAAAAACTGTCTCTTCAACAGAGCGCAACAGATGTTCGTGAGCCATCGCACGAGATTACTTGTCCTTCTGAAGTCGAACAAGTTCATCATGACCCTGTTGAAACCGTACTTCAAAACGGGACTTTAAAGCCGAGCATTGGGTGGAACCATCAGTTAAAACGTCGAGTTTCGAGTTCTGCTCTACGACAAGGCTCTCGCAGCGATCTCCAAGCATCGAGCAACGCTGCTGAAATGCCTCTGCGATGAGCGCTCTTCCACTTCGAGAGTCGCTTAATCGATTTTCACGCTCAGCCCCACCTCCGCTTTTAGACTCTCGTGGAGAGTGGATAAGATGATTGTCGATCACGAGGATCGATGGACTCGCCATCGTGAAAAAAGCAGTCAAACAATCAACGCTTCTACAGAGATCGGTGGCGCGGCCATCCATCGGACTCGGACACGTGGTAACCTCGTCAGGACTTGGATTCGCTACGCAGTACGTCCTCCAAGACTTAATTCACACGCTTTGTTTGACCGTCTCTTTCAAAGTGTCCCGCTGTTGACATGGACAATTTGATGCACAGTAGTCCAAACAGTGCACGCCAAAATTTCAACGTAAAACGTGTGTCATGGTCTGACACGATTCAACAGGAAGGCTATGCAGATAAAAAAAATCTTTGAAAACCTTAGCTGTCTTCTCGGCTGAGATCCTGTCCAAAACAGGCGAATGATGATGCATCATGCTGAACCGGTCCATCAACACAAGGTTGTCACTGCGTCCATGTGTATCATGCAGAAGTTCGAATATGAAGTCCATACTCACAGGCTTCTAGCTGTCAGTTGGCACTGCCAACGACCGAAGTGGGGCCTGAGTGGAGCTCAGTATTCTTACTCTCTGGCAAATCTCACAAGTCCTCACATACTTGCGCACCCACTTATACATGTGTGGCCAATAATAATTCCGGGAAAGACTAAGAACATTTTCTTATGTCCGATATGGCCATCCGAAGGGCTGTCATAATACTAATATATAAGAAACGATGACGCAAACTTCTGTCATTTGGAACAACAACTCTTGCTGTACCCTCGTGTTCAACGGCCTAGTACAACAATCCGTTGTGAACTCCTGAGCGGTGAACACACGATCATGTGCAAGACGGGAGACCTTGCAGTGCTCCGTCGGAAGTATCATTGATATACCTCAACAATTCCTGACATGTCTTATCAGACTTGTACCCTTCGGCAATCTCTTCGCGCACTGTAGTCGTAGTTAGAACTCTGATCGTCTGGACATCATCGCATTGTCGACATGACTCGTGTATATCTCGCTCCTGGACTTTGAAATATTGTCCGGGCGTCTTGACAACGCATTGGCTAGGATCTTTGTCATCCTTAGCTTGTATTGTACAACAAAGTTGTACTCCGCAAAGCAGAAAAAACCATCGAGCCATTCTTTGCGATAAATGAGGAATATTTACTGCAGTACGCAGTGAGGCCTGATTTGTAAAAATCGCAAGGCACTCCAATCCAAGCAAGTACACAGGGAACTTAACCAATGCATACTTCATGATTATAAGCTCTTTTCATGAACTGGATAGTTTCGATCCGCGGTCCGGAGTAGTCGCGACTGAAAGGAAACAACTCGCTCTCGGCCCTCATCATCGTGTTGCATCAACGCACAACCGATGGCATAATCACTTGCATCGCAGACCACACAAGAAAGCTTATCGTGGTTTGCAATCGCAAGAACAGAAGCTTCTCTCAAGCTCTTCTTCACTTCGGCAAATTCCGCCTTGTGATTTTTTCACCATTCCCACTCAATATTCTTTTTTTTAAAGAGTTGTTAATGGTTGCGCCAACGCCGCATAATTGCAAGTGTATTTGTGCAAATAGTTAATCACGCCCAGCCGTTTGCCAACTTGTTTGGCACAGGCCAATCAGTGATAGCTTTGACTTTCTCCGGATCTACACAAACGCCATTCTTGCCCAGAAAGCAGCCGAGAACGGGGATCTCTGGTGCAAAAAATGCACTTTTCAGATTACCATAGAGTTTGTTTTCTTGCATATTTTGGAAAACCTGACGAAGATAATCAAGATGAATATCGACATCAGACTTCTCACCCGTTTTCTTACTATGTACGAATATATCGTCAAGTAACTCAGTGCAAACTCTCTTAATGGATAAAAAAGATTCGTGACCATTCTGTTAAAAGTCGCGGGAGCGTTCTCCGAACGTTGTGGCATCACTAACCACACCCACAGCATACTACTGGGGGTACTGACTATGTATCATTTTGCGCATTCGTTTCTGATTGAAATAGTACTGCCAATAATTTTATCAAGAATCACATCCTTGCGTGGGACCGGAGTCGAGGCATATCGCTCAATCTGTCAAAAGCGTAATCAATGCGCCAATCGCCTGCATATTACTACTCACAAAAGGTTGGAATACAATGCGGAGACTTACTCTCATGCACATGGTCAGCCTTCTGTCGCTGCGCAAAGAACTCGTCAATTGCAATGATTTGCTCTTT